TCCAAAACACAAGGATTCTTCCTCCTAGCCAGAGATTGCTGGAGAGTTTATGTATGTGTTGGAAGCTATTTCACTTTATTTTACTTAAGTTATCAACAGTTACTCTAATGGTTGCATGAAGGAAGTGATTCCATATATTGCTATTACTCAGCATACTGTATTAGAACTGTGGAAGTCACAAGTAAATGGTTAGGGACTTTAAAAAAATACACTAAAGAATGGGTAAAAATTTGCAAATTAAATACAATGTAATTTTTGTTTGACCAGATACATCTGACGAATTGTCCCTTTTTTTAAGTCTTCTTTTTGGCAGTGTTACAAGGACCAAAAATATTTCCATAATGTTTGGGGGGGGGGAAAGAAGAAAGTACTGTGTAAGTATGAACTAAAACAGTTTCATTCCCTGATGAGGGTTTCTTTTCAGGGTGGAAAACCTGGTTCTGGACCTCAGTCAGCAGGAATTCTCCTCTGCCCAAAGGAACAAATCCCCCTCAATTGAAAATAAAGTTTCATGGAAAAAAAATTTTGATTTTCTACATGCAGCGTTTTTGTTTTTCTCTGTTAAGGAACATTCATTCTCATGAGCCAGAATGACATCTGTCAGTAGAATTAGGCAGGGCTAATTTCCTCTCCCTATTACGACTTCTACATTCATAGCAAATTGTAATGAGGGTCCATCAATCCTCTAAGGTAAATTTGGAGGATACGTTATGTGCTGCAGAGGGAGGAGGAAGAAGAGAAGAACCCACTGAAGAAGGAGACATCTGGTCATAACTTGGGCCCTTTTCAGTTCACATCGGCCTTCTCCAACTTGATGCCATCCAGCTGTTTTGGACCGCTGTAATCCCAAGCCATTGTAGTTGGGAGATAGAAAGAGGTAATCTTTATTACGGTTCCTGACTAGCAAACTGAATAGTCGACATCGTAAAAAGAATAAAAGAACAAAGTGTGGGAAGCCACGACACAGGAAAGAAAGCATAGACATTCTATGGAAAGAGCAATAAAAATGTCTTAAAGGCCAAAACATTCCTAAGACATCAACAAAAGTGCATATGACATTTACTATAGTACAGTAAGTATGGATAGCTGGATATTAAAAGTACAGCATAAGTGATAAGTGATTTCCCACTCTGTAGCCCTCAACTTGCATAAACATTTTTACTTTCCCATTGTTTGGGGTTCCCCTCTCTTGTAAAGTGGGAACCCAACAATTGTTGAATAAACAGTTGTTTCTCCTCAGTGTTGGGCTCTGTTCTTCTGAATTTTCTGTGACAAATTATTCTAACTTTTATGTGTGCAATTATTGTTTTAATAGAGTTATTACCTTTCTCCCTCTGAGGAAGCAAAAGTTGGACTTTGAAGAAGTAAGATAGGAAGAGTATTGACACTTATGAACTTTGGTGTTGGAGAAGACTCCTGAGACTCCTGAGAATACCGTGGACAGCCAAGAAAACAAACCAATGGATCACTGAACACATCAACTCCAAGTTCTCACTTGAGGCACAAATGACCAGGCTCAAATTATCCTACTTTGGACACATTATGTGAAGACCTAGCTCTCTGCAGAAGGCTCTGATGTTGGGGAAGGTGGAAAGAAAGAGAAGAAGAGGATGACAAGCAGCAAGGTGGATGGACTCAGTTATGGTGGCGATGAGTTCACTGCTGAAAGACCTGAAAGACCAAGTTAGGGATAGATCATCATGGAGGAAATCTATCTAGGAGTCAACAACAACAGGACTTGTCTCTATCCAGGAGTCAACAACAACTTGATGGCACATAATCAATCAATCAATTTCTCTCCACCCCCCTCCACCCCCTTTTTTTTTGGTCAGAAAGGTAGGTTTTAAATCCAGTAAAAAACGCAAAACAAAACATCAGTACCACTAAAGAGGACGTATGATGGAAACAACTTTTCTAGACAGAAGCTTTTTCCAGAGTGGTCTCTGTTACATAGAGATGAAGACAATTTCTGGCACATTTTCCTTCTTTGCTTTCAAAACCAAAGACTGAGAACTGCTCTGTTTTACTACATGCATTAAACAACAACCATCCAGCTCTACAACCAAATTTATGCATAGGCAAGAATAATTTTACAAATAACTACTGGGAAATTATCCTTACTCACCCTCCACTATCCTGAGAGTCTTGCTTGAAGAATGCAGAATTACTCTCTGTCACCCAACAGCCAGGCAAGCTCTTTTTAAACCCAGAATTACATAAACCAATAAACATATAAGAGCCAGTTTGGTGTAGTGGTTAAAGCTTCAGGCTAGAAACCGGGAGACAGTGAGTTCTAGTCCTGCCCTAGGTACAAAGCCACTCTCTCAGCCCTAGGAAGCAGGCAAGGGCAAACCACTTCTGAAATCTTGCCAAGAAAATTGCAGGGGCTAGTCCAGGCAGTTGCCAGGAGTCAAAATTTGACTTGAAGGCACACACACACACACATATACACACACAAACATACACATCAATGCAACAACCTTAGTTTTCTTGCAAACGTCTCATGGAGAAATTTCCTCTCCCCTCTTGGCTCTTGGCTCCACTCTACTTGCATCTCCTCTTCTGTGGCCCCAATCCAAATCCAGGTCAGCTGCTCATTGGTTCTTCTAGTCACATCCTGCTCCCCTAGGTGTTCTACACTGGGTGTGCTCCTCACTCTCTTGACCTCTGAATGGATTCCCTTCTTGGGTAGATCTGGCCTGCTGATCTACCATCCTAAACCCCACCAGGCAAACAACCAGGGGGGAGGGAGGGGGAGGGAG